CCACTTTCTATCCTTTCCTAGGGGGTAGATAGAGTTGAACACGTGGCGACCATCTATTAGCTTTTGAGATTACCCTTATCTCCGTGTCACAAAGGGTGAACATGTGGCGATAATCTATTGGTTCCTTGGATTACCCGGTCATTTGTCATAAAAATGGTTCTTTTAGCTTTTCTTCAATACTGGCGACTGGCCCCTACTTTCTTCCTTCTTTCTCCTTTGATCATGCCATGATTTTAGGGGTTTTCTTTATTAGGGGTTCTCTTTATTCTTTTTCTTTCTTCTTTTTATTCCTTTTCTTTCTCCTTTGATCATGCTATGATTTTAAGATTTTTATTTTAAATGTTTGAATAAGTACATGTTTTTTAAAATATTTTTTTAAAAAACAATGCTTTAAAAAATTTGTGTTTTACAAGTACTTTCGAAAAAAAATAATTTTTTTACTTCAAACAATATTTTAAAAAAATAAACATAAAATATTAAATAATCCTTTGATCTTGACTTTTTGAGCAATAATTTAAAGATTGAAGTTTTGTTTTGGTGAAAACATTTGAAGAAAAGTGAAACGTGAAGAATGATTGGAAGCTAATAGGGGCAAGAGAGTGAGGAATTGGCTCCAAATAAGGCCAAAGGATGGCCATTGAAATTAAGATTCCATGGCCTTTTAGGTCATTCTGACGCGGAGGCAAAGCTGAGGCAGATTTTAGTTGAGTTAGGGAATGATGACAAAATACTTGGAATCCAGGTCTGCATGGTTCCATTTTTTTCTGACAAAGTAGCATAAATGAGAATCTTAAGAATAACTTGTTAACAACTGTAAAACTAATCCCTTATTTATTTTATCTTGGCGGCTTTCTCAAATTATCGATGGATACCACTTAAATTTGCCTGAATTAGACGATCCAATAACCCCTTAACAGTATTGCAATGACAATTGCTACAATACTAGCCCCCTACGTCACCTTACTACTTTCTTTCCACGTCCTTTCCTTTAAAAAAAATTAAAAATAATTGAAGAAAGACTACATAAGGTCAAAAAAAGGACAACCTTTCTCTCTCCCACTTTTTATCCTGTCCTAGGGATAGATAGAGTTGAACACATGGCAACTATCTATTAGCTTTTGAGATTACTCTTATCTCCATGTCACAATAAAATCTAAGGGTGAACATGTGGCGATAATCTATTGGTTACTTGGATTACCCGGTCCTTTGTCATAAACATGATTCTTTTAGCTTTTCTTCAATGCTCGCGACTGGCCCCTACTTTCTTCCTTCTTTGTCCTATCCTTTTCTTTCTCCTTTGATCATGCCGTGATTTTAGGGGTTTTCTTTATTCTTTTTCTTTCTTTTTTTGCATACAAGTTAACATTTAACTTGGCCTATAGCTGGTTGGTTTTTTTCCTTTAGTACGAACAAGAACAGTCATTTGAGTTCTCATATGATATGGTATTTGAAACCTTTATGTTCGGCATTGAAATGACATGTTTTATACCTCAAAAGGATGAAGGTCTGATATCTTCTCCTCACCCCACCCGCGAGCTGCTTTCCCATAGTCCCAATAACCGACCATCATTGTAATAGTGGCGACCTTTCAGTTTTACAAAGACCACTCTGCCTGCAATTTAAAGTCCCAGATTATTCAATCATTATATTTTTGTGTTCATTGGATAATTGATTCCTGTTGTGATTAAAGTCCCAGATTGACTGGTAACATCAATTTCAGTTGTTACTTACTATAGGTTCCTGGCATTCCAATACATGCAATAATGCAGGAGTTTGGCTGGGCCTAATATGCACAGCAGATTGCTCAGAACCAATTAATGGCCTGCAAATCACTTTGTAAAATGACAGCATCATTAATTTGCTCACACATTGCATGAAAGTAAATGGCCACAATATCGCAGTTTGAAACATGCAGCGATGCACAAATCGCCACCGCAGTGATTATACATTTTGAATGTGGGTTTTGCAGTGAAAAAATTGATATCTGGTGGAATAATAAGGCTGAAGATGTCATTCAAATTAAGAAATTCTAGTAAATGATACGTTGTTTGAGAAACCTTTTTTAACAAACTGTAGGCTGGAGATGTTTGCAGTTGCATCTGATTCCATCCGTGTTCCCCTTCTCTTAGTTTAACTGGTTGCTGCACTTGCTCAAGATTCTTGCTTAAACTACTGTATGTCCCGAAATAATGTATAAATTGAATGGATTAAGGTGGCCATTGTTCTTGATACCTTCCATAAGCAATCTTAATGACACTAAGGGGGGTAAAGAATTCGTATCCAAATTTTATTTTATTTTCAAAAAAGAAAGATTTACGGAGTCACATGATAGCTAGCTCTAGTAAATATGGGAATATTTCATTTGGTGAAAACATTTGAAGAAAAGTGAAACGCGAAGAATGGTTGGAATCTAATACGGGCAAGAGAGAGAGAGGAATTGGCTCCAAATGAGGCCAAAGGATGGCCATTGAAATTAAGATTCCATGGCCTTTTCCAATGCACTATATATACATCAACTAATAGATGATATGAAGCATCATCAAATCATAAGCTCCCCTTTGCATCCTTTTTTTATTTCTCCTCTTTTCTCAACCAAACAATTTCTCCCTATATTGCACATTTCCAAATTTATAATCCTTTTATTTCAATTTTATCGTCTCTCAACCATTCCTTAGTTCTGAATAATATGGCTGAAGCTCTTGTTTCCGTAGTCTTGGAGCAGCTGAGGTCAATCATTATTCAGGAGGTGGGACAAGAAGTGAGGCTCGTTGTTGATGTCAAGAACGAGGTTGAAAAGCTCACCAGCAGTTTCCGAGCCATCCAAGCTGTGCTTGCCAATGCAGAGGAAAGACAATTGGAGGACGGGTATGTCAAACTTTGGTTAGATCAACTCAAAGACGTATCTTACGACATGGATGATGTTTTGGATGAGTGGGGCACTGCAATTGCAAAATCGCAAAGCAAGGTACATGAACATCCCAGCAAGAATAAAAAGAAGGTATGCTCTTTCATGATCTTCTCTTGCTTTCGTGTTAGAGAAGTTGGTTTGCGTCGTCGGATTGCTTATAAGATAAAAGAACTGAATGAAAGAATAGATGTCATTGTGATTGTGAAAAATATGTTCGACTTCAAATCATTGGAAGCGGGAATTAAACAGCATGAACATCATGAAACCGCTTCTGTTATAGATGTAAAAGACGTTAAGGGTAGAGAAAATGATAAAGACAGGGTCATGAAAATGTTGTTCAGTACTGAGAGTAGTCAAGGACCAGCCCTCCGTACAATCTCTCTAGTAGGGATGGGAGGGATAGGAAAGACAACCCTTGCTAAGCTAGTTTATAATGATCTTAAGGTGGAGAACCATTTTGATAAGAGAATATGGGTTTGTGTATCAGATCCTTTTGATGAGATAACGATTGCCAAGGCAATCCTTCAAGATCTCAAGGAGTCTACCCAAAATCTAATCAAATTGCAGACTTTACTAGAAAAAATACAATCATTGATTAGGGGAAAGAAATTCTTACTTGTCCTAGATGATTTGTGGAATGAAGATTCCACAAAGTGGGAGCAACTGAAAGACTCCCTCGAGTGCGGTTGTTTGCCTGGAAGTAGGATTCTGGCGACAACACGTAAGAGGAATGTTGCGACTAGCATGGGCTCCTCACCCAGTACTGACATTTTGGAACTAGGACTTCTCTCTACAGATGAATGCTGCTCACTCTTCAGTAAGCTTGCATTTTCTGAAAATGAAAGTAGAGAGAGAGGAGATTTAGATGAAATTGGTAGAAAAATTGCAGCCAAGTGTAAAGGCTTGCCTCTAGCTGCAAAGAGTCTAGGAAGTCTTTTGCGATTTAAAAGTAGAATAGAAGAGTGGGAAAGTGTCTTGAACAGCCATGTCTGGGAGATTGAAGAAGCTGAAAGCAAAATTTTGGCTCCTTTATGGTTGAGCTACTATGACCTGCCCTCTGATATGAGACGGTGTTTCTCATATTGTGCAGTCTTTCCAAAAGACTTCA